CGTTTGCTCCGGGATGTTACTCATTTCCAGCCACAAGATGTTGTTCCCCCTTTCTGACACCAGTTCCCTGTTGGCCACGTCACTCCATGGATGAGATGATCAGGCCCTTCCTCAGGAAACGAGTGCCCAGAGGCTCTCACTGCAAGACACATTTTCCCAACTATTTAACCATGCTCATGATGGTTTTTTTCTTTCCTCCCAACTCTCTTTATGTTCTTCACATTCTCCTCCAGGGGATAATCACAAAAAACTCCAGATCATCACCACAGATTGGCCAGCCCTGCTGATGGTTTCCAGCATCTCCCCCTCCTGGATCACAGGATTGTTCTCAACAAGTCCCTTGGATTCCTGAGCAAAGAAAAAAAGCCTTAATTAGATGAATTTCAGCCTCTATTTGCATTGCAGGTGTTTTTCCAAGGTCAGGAGGAGGCAGCAGATGGAGCAGGGAGCTGTGCAGGGTCAGCATGGTGGTGTTTTAACTTCCAGCCCACCAGGGCTTGGGAGACCTTTTTCATCCACAGCTTGGAAACTCTTCTCAAGAGCCCTTTGGGAATGGGGCACTGGAAATGAGATTCAAAATTCATTGCAGCCCAGAGGAAGAAGGAGGGTGGTTTCTGAGGAGCTGGGGGGTGCTGTGCTGCCTCCCTGGCTGCTCCTCAGGAAAGGAAGGATGAAGCCCTGGAGAAAAGGAGATCTTGAGGTGCCCCCTGTGCCCGTGGGTAGATGTTCCCACAAAACTCTCCTGATGGTCTTGGCTGATCCTGGATCCCAGTGGGAAATCAGACCCTGCAGCCTCTCAGAGATTCGTTTCATTATAAGGGAACAATAATGGATAATGTGAGCCAGCAAGATGTGCTGGGGCCCAGAACCCACCCGTGTCCTGGGCTGTGTCACCAGCAGCGTGAGCAGCAGGGCCAGGGAGGGGATTGTCCCCTCTGCTCTGCTCTGCTGAGACCCCCCTGCAGGGCTGGGAACAGCTCTGGGGTCCCCAGCACAGGGAGGACACGGAGCTGTTGGAGAGAGGCCAGAGGAGGCCCCGGAGATGCTGGGAGGGCTGGAGCAGCTCTGGAGCCAGGCTGGGAGAGTTGGGGTGTTCAGCCTGGAGAAGAGAAGGCTCCAGGGAGAGCTGAGAGCAGCTTCCAGTGCCTGAAGGGGCTCCAGGAAAGCTGGGGAGGGGCTTGGGACAAGGGCAGGGAGGGATGGGAGCAGGGGGAAGGGTTTCCAGCTGGCAGAGGGAGCTGGAGCTGAGATGGGAGGGAGAAATTCTGGGCTGTGAGGGTGGGGAGAGCCTGGCCCAGGTTGCCCAGGGAAGCTGTGGCTGCCCCATCCCTGGGGGTGTTGAAGGGCAGGTTGGATGGGGCTCGGAGCAGCCTGGGATGGCGGGAGGTGTCCCTGCCCATGCAGGGG